CACTCTTAATGAACTAATCGTTGAGCAATTCTAGAAATACAAATCTGCTCCCACATGTTGTATGGTTTTCTACATTTGTAAAGCAACAACAGCAATACTGCCTCTCACAGCCTTGTCTTTTAACAGTGATTGAGTTTATGACTGAAGTGTGGAAACGAAAACTTTCTGCAGACACTTTTGCTGCTTTCTTGTTCACTTGCTGCTGTTTTACATTAACCATAATCTGATTTACAATCCACCAAACAGCATGATTCTCGAGTAACTTTAATTACCAAAGTAAACATATAAACCCTGACTGTAATGACAAAGAGTTAATCCACACATACATACCAAATCCTGCTTTTTTGTTAAGTAGCACTAATCAACAGAGACTGAGGAGGTAAACAAGGCCTCTTAAGCTTTATTTATTTATTCACTTTATTAGCAAGAGGCTGTTCATTCCGTCTGTTAATGGCAGCTGTGGGAACGAATAGAATTCACACTCACTTGGACCCCTATTGTGTGGCAGGCTGTCAGGTTACACACACGCTGACACACACGCACACACAATAGGGGAGGCACTGTGCACAGCTGTTGTCTTATATTATTTGTTTTCTGAAATCTCCATAGTTACAGTAGAAAGGTGCTTCTAATCTTTACTGTTACGACTATATAAATACAAGCTTGTCTAATCAGGCCACTCCAGGCCAACCATCAGATTTAGTCTCAAATATGTTTCCATACAATGATAGGAAGCAAAGCCAAGCCATTTTTGACATTCCAGGAGAAACAAGTTTAAATTGAGTTTTCCATAATTATTGTCTGCATAGATGTTCAAATACTACTGATTTATGCTTGTTTTTTCCCTTGTATGGACATTATCAGTTATGTTGCAATTCATCTTTGATTGTTGTTGCTCTGTGATCTGGCAGGGGACAGTTTTAAGGTTTATCTTGCAACGGAACACCATGACTTAGACTCGAGTGTTCATGTTCAGGCCTATTAATGAGCTGTTAGCTCAATTAGTCCAACTTTTGAGTATAGGGGCAAAGGCAGTTTGGAAAAAACAAATCGAAGGTAATATTAAACACTTAAGTTTTAGGGAAAAATGTATTTCATCGTGTTTTTTAAGTTATTCCCACTCATCAGCTTCTGGGGGCAGTTTGATAAGGATCAAACCCAGTGGGCCAGTTTCCATCTATAAGAGGTATCTATGCATCTCAGAATAGGGACTAAAATCAAACTTAACAGAAAAAAGGCAAACATGATGATCTTACAGAGAAAGAGGATGAATTGAAGCATACATGATTACAATATTAATGATAACTGTAATATTGTTCACCCTACAAGCCTAACCATGCTGCCATTGCTGTTCTAGAGTCCGAGCACCACTCTATTCCTAGCGGGACGTGATTGTAGTAGCAATAGCCATAATTTATTGATTTATTTTCCATTCCTTTTCCCCCCTTCTTCATCCCCTCTTTGGTTCCCCCTTCTGGTCAGACAGTATTGGAGATAAGAGGGATGCACACATGAACATACATGCACACACACTTTTCAAGTGCAGAGACTCTTACTTGTTTGTCCTGTTTTACCCTGCAACATATTTGTCTTATCAGTGTTTCACTGTAATCACTTGCCTGTGTCTGTGTGCTGTTTTGCAGTTTGTTTACTTTTTTCAGTCAGCACACCTAAGTTATGTACAGTGCAGCACACATGCTCCTGCACAGTGTATCAGGTTCATGTGACTTTTGTTTTTTTTAAGGTTATTTGTACTACTTAATTGAAATATCACACTTGAAATAGACATGTTATTATAACTCATCATCTTCAGTTAGTGCTTAATGGTTCTGAGGCAACGAGTTTGCATATTTTTAACTCGTTTAACATGTTGGTCAGACAAAACAAGCAATTTGCCACTGGTGAAATGTAACTAAATATAATCAAGTGCCTGTAAAATTTTCCCCATTCCATGCTGCTCAAGAGTGCCCCTCTAATTCATTCCACAGAATATTTTACTTTTCATTTCACAGCATTTATTGATCGCTATCAAAGCAAGTGGCATTTTATGTGGAAATAAGCTGCTTTTTAAATTAAAAAACTTAAATGATCCACTAGTTTAAAAAAAACAGATCCACATTAATTTTCAATTTTTAAAACTGATTTCAAGTAAATGCAATGAACCACAAATAATACATACTTTATATGCCCATAGCCTATTTTTAATGTACAATATTGCTTTTAATAAGCAAACTGTAATATCTGATGGGATTCCCCCCCTCGTTTTCTGGTATTTTCTAAACTAAACAATTTCCAAACGATCAAAAATGTCTACAGCTTTTCCGATTGATTGCACTGGGGTAAGCGATAACCACAGTATTCCTAGACCTTTGGCAGTGTGTCCAAGGCCTTGGCATCCTTTTCATAGTAGTCAGTGTAAATTAAAATCTGTTTAAACTTTTTAAAGAATACGTGTAATAGCTGTTATGAGGAGGAGAAGTAACAACAACTGTGTTGCTGATTATGAGCTGCTAATTGTCAACTTAAGAATAAACAAGGAAGAAAAGAGGATTTTAATCATTTCCCAATTAAGACACTTTCAAAGGTGTTTTGTGTGCATGTGTGTGTTGCGGTGCTCCAAATTCTATTTAATTAAGGCAGAGATGGAGGTTACTCCTCTACTTTTGTCTATGTGAGATTTAGATGATTCTTTCTAATCTGTGTATTTCAACTCTGAAGATTTTTAATTGATTTTTATTTCTGCATATTTAATTAATACTCCTCCAATTTGCAGTTTACAAACTTTTAAACCTGTTGGGTAGGAATTATTTCTGAGCTCTTTCTGTCTGAGTACCCATATTTGTTTGGATCAATAAAAGCAGGAGAAAAAACAGCAATCAACATCTCCCATTTTTTAAAGAAAAATATATTTGTTCCATGTTATGTTTTTCTTTTTAACTATTAAACAAACCAGCTCCTAGTTTCTGGTTGCATGCAGTATTTTAACCTTTCGTGTCTGTATTCATGCATCCATGCCGGTACAGGTGTGTGTAAGCCCAGAGATAAAGCACCCAGTTGTAGTGCAGGACATTTCCCCCCTGAGGAGTCCTTTATATGTCAGTGCTGTTATGTCATGTTATGTTACAGCCCTGACTCCCTGCTACACTACAGTATCGGCACAAGTATTTTGCATGTGTAAAGACAGATTATGTACTTTTTTTCCTTCCTCTTCTTGTGACATGCTTTTACCCCATTTTGTTGATGCGTGCATGTGTGTTTGCACGTGCACGGGCTGGCTGTCCAACATCACCGTGCTCCATGCTCATTGTGTTGGGTCCTCACTCACTGGCGTGCTGGAAATATGCCAACAACTGCCCCCCAAAACCCCAACTCCCCACCCCCATTGTACCCACTCTGAAAAGAATGAAAGACCTGTCTTGCAGACACACACACACACACACACACACACACACACACACACACACACACACACACACACATTCATTTGTCTATCAAATCACATAGAAAAAGCCATAAATTAGCCTATAACATAACGAATATTTACATACATTGCTGATCCCGTTAAGGTTAATCTCATTTTCATTCAACCCCTGTGGTGCCTCAGAGAGCTGAACCTCTCTGTGCAGTTGCACCTGAATTTTGAAGTTTAGAAGGGACTTGACAGTTTATTAAGGAAGGCTGGACCATTTGATTCTGGTCATTTTTGTATTTTTCCTCATTCTTTCTTCTGCTTCTAAAATAAAGGCTTTTGGCCACTCTTATTCTAAGTAAATAAATAAAGTTTTTGATTTTATAACAGTATCCATCCATGCAGAAAACAGTGGAAAGAGGTTTAATTTATTTATTAGATTTTATTTTTTAAGTTATGAGTTAATTCATTCAGATTTGTGGTGCTGGTCCTACGATTGTTAAACAAATAATGAGGGGAAGTCTGTAGGAAAATTCATGGTTGTCCAATCTAAGTGAGACACTGTTTCTAGAACTTTTTAATCTCAACAAAACTAAGCTGCTGAACTGAAAACTGTTATGCTAAACATTTAGTTTATTTTTAATTCTCCAAGCCCTGCAGACTAAATGTTACTCTCTGCATTGTCTTGGGGTTTGATTGTATTTGTGTATATACTCTGTTTTTAGAGTAATGCATAACTGAAAATAATGTGTAACGACAAACTGAATGATATCACCACTTTTTAACAAGATTTTTAGAGATAAAAAAAACCAACCCCCCCCCCAAATCATAGTTTCCAGTTATTCTCTTTGTCCTCTGGTCGTGTCTCACACTGTTCTATCTTTAAATTTGTGTTTTTTCTTCCTGTTCTGATTTTTCCTTTCCTCCCACCCCAAGAAGCCTCTTTCTTCCTTCCTCTCTGTCAGCTTGCTAGCACCCTCATATTCAGTCTCACTCCCTCTATCTCTGCCTGCACCCCTTCTTCATTCCCTCCTCCCTCCCTTCCTCCCTCGTCGCCCTCTCACTTCCCTCTCTCCCTCTCGCTTTTCCCCTGGCAGGCTGGTGATTGACACTTACAAATTACCCGGCGGCAGTGGCATTGTGTGTGACCCCTCTCTCTCATCTCCAGCCCGCCGCCGTTTTGTCATCTAATTACTGTGAATCCCCGGCCTGCTCCCCACTGCTGCATTTTTAATATGCCTGCCCCCGCCCCTTCTCGCTTTCTCTCTCCCTCCCTCTCCCTCCCTCTCTCCCACACAGCCCCCCTCTCTTCCATTCACCTGCAGCCGACTTTACCTGCTCCTCTGTCCAATACTTGGAGTGCATCCGTCGTCTCTATACTCTTCCCGTGCAACCCTCGGAGTGTTTTCTCTCCACCGCCTCCATTATCACATCATCACCTCTCCTGCCTCCTCTCCCGGCTCTCCTCCTCTCTGTGGAGTGTCGCTCCATCCCACACATGGACCTGTCCATGTCAATCTCTCTGTTTGCATTTCACTTTTCAGCAGTATCATTAGTGTTTGGTAAACATGTTGTCCGGTTCACTTGATCAATAGGCACTAATGAAGGCACGGTGCTTTCTAGCTTTGATGACTTTGCCTTCAGATTTGAATATTTTTGGCCGACTGTTCTTACATTTTCCATTTTTCTTTCTTTTTATGAAAAAGCCTGTTCTGCTGTTCTGTGTGCGTTCGTGCAAATGCAACTTTTGTTAAAAATCAAAAACATCCTGTTGTCCATCCTAATTAATTTCAAGACAATGAGCTGTTTCCTTATCATTAATGCGTGTTTGCAATGCTAATTATTTTATTTACTGTTTAAAAAAATACATAACGACAAAGAATACCAAAATGTCAATGCAAGTGACAAATGTAGCGACTGCAGAATCTCCCTTGGAGACAAAAATACATTTTCAAAGTTGCTGAGATATATCGTCCCTCCATCGTGTGTAAAGACATAAATATAGAGTCCTTCTTTCTCAAAAGGATAATGTGTGTCGGAAGTTAAAGATTTCAGTATGACAAGGTGCAAATGTTCACCTACAGTTCCTCTCATAGCTGGGCTCACATACAGTCTCTTCCCATTTCTTTCTTTGTGTGTGTGTCTGTATGTGTGTTCTGTCCAACGCTCAGCTGCCCACAGCCAGACTGAGCTCCCCCGCCGATCTTCATCTTCCAGCTAGAAATCAGCAGAGCATGGCAGGCTGCTGCTATAGCACCACTCTGAAGGGAGGAAGGAATGAAGGAAGAACAGAAAGAAGTGGGAGAAAGAGCAGAAGGAGATAAAGACAAATAGAAAAGGATGAGTGGGGTTGTTGAAAAAGCAGATTTGTTTTTTAGCTGCATTGCCGTGGAAATCAGAAAGTGTTTTTCTTTTCTTTTTCTTTTTTTTTAATTCAGAGTACAAGTGATGACAAATGCCTTAAAGCAGTTGACACAGATGTGGAGGCAGCTGGGATGGGCAGGGGCTGACCTGCCCCCTCCACCTTCTGATGTAGCTCCAGGGCGTGGTAGGATTTAGCATGGCCTCATTACCTTGTCATGAGTTTGGAGAAATATGGGCCTCCTGAGAGAGACTCAGGGACGTGCACTGATGAAAAGAGAAAAGGAAGGGAAGCTGACAGCCGACGCATGGAGAACGCAAAAGAAAATGGGAGGGAGGAGGTGGAATGAATGAGAAAAAGGAGGGAGGAAAATAGAGTTAAGGAAAGGAAGGTAATTGAGAGAGAAAGGGAGGAGAGATGTTGGCAGATCTGGAAAAACAGAGGAAAAGTGAGGAGGGATAGAGTATGGTGGGGAGTGGCGAAACTAATGGTCCTGCCTGGAGAGATAGTAGTCAATCAATCATGTTTAAACAAAAGCAGCAGGCCCAGGAGAATATTTAAAAAGTGCTTATTTAATTAAAAGTCCCTTTGCTCATATTTATGAGCCATCCTTCTTTCAAATATTAACCTTCCAGGTCCTGGGAGGCTCCTGGCAACTCAGCCCTGCACTGTGAACTGAGTTGCTTGGATGAGACAACAGAGTTGAAGTTGTAGAGGCAATACAGTAGCTATGATTTTCAAGACACACTCAAATTTTAATTTATTTATTCTTTTCATATGCAGAAATCATTTAACCACAAAAGAGAGAGCTTATATTATATTATAGGACCTGATTGGTATCAATCAATAGTAATAAAAAAAGTAGGATTGCAGCCAAGTATTTTTTGTATTATTGGCAATCTTATTCTTTTCCACAAATTAATAATTTGAGCTGCAAAATATAAAGGAAAAAGGAAAAAAACCCACAGGCCTACAGAGTCCTACAGATTCAAAGGTTCAAAGCCCAAAGCTATATAGTTAAAAAAAAACATAATAAAAAAAAGAAAAACAAAACTGAAAATCTTCATAACAGTGAAGTTGGAACCTGAAAAATTAATATGTTTATTCAGTGAACCACAGCACATTATTCTTTAATCAATCAGTCCTCTACAATTATAAGAACACTGTAAACAAATGTTCCCTTCAATTGATATATCAGCTAATTATTAATATCAGCCAATTCTGTCACTACTGACTGATATCAACATACTGACATATGTCATTTATTCTTGTAAGTCGCCACTGTGTATCAGGTGTGTCTTATCCTTTTTCATGTGTGATGACGAGCTGAAAAAAGTCAGAGGATGAAACAAATAAAGACAATTCGAAATTGTTAATTAAGCAAATAAATACTGTAAAAAATAACTGTTAGAAACCAGTTTGTTATTTTCAACATCAGTATTGGCCCCAAAATGTGCACTCTACAGCTCTTAAACCTCTTTAAACTTAAAACAGGATGTTTTATAAGGAAATATCTGAAGTAATACAGTTGAGAAGATGCATTATGTGATGCCCCCAAATCTAAACATATTCAGATAGAGAAAAGTAGCCGATACACACAAGGAGCTAGAGCAAGATCCTTTGTATTGTTATTGTTGTTTGATTTAAAGGGGTGCTTCTATAACTCGATGTTACAACTGCTTAAAAATCACTACTGAAGCAGCAAAGGCCTAAACAGCTGTTTTTTCTCTAACGCAGCCAGTAGCATCTGTTTGTTACACCCTACCATGTTAAAGCCTTACTTTATAAAGCAGGTTTTCTGTTATAGTCTAAATACTGTCCTGTGAGACCAAACTGAAATAGCTTAGTCTGTATATAAAAGATGGGTTTGTAAAGTAAAGTCAGTGCAGAAGTGGATTAAACCTGCATTCTTTTTAATGGCTAGCGGAGAGGTGACTTACGTGGTTGCAAAAAGAAATAATTGATTGTATTGACTATGAGAAACTGACCCTGATGCCCAATATCTGTAACCTCAGCAAACACTTTCTTGATGAGTTTCTTTTCTCAGTAGCTAGTTTCACATTGATGACTCCAACATGATATCAGTTTGTAAATAATTTTCCAGGATAGAGTAAAATAGACAAGGACCATATTAGCACAAAGTGTCCTCACTCCTCAGTCAGATCCACACTGCGCAAGTGTAAAATTATAAAGATAAAATGTATACACTCAAGTAAAGTAAGTAAAAATATTTTAGAATTTTATTTGATAATATGTAGTTGCTCATATTTCTCAGTCACTACTTAGAGTGTTTTTTTAATTTATGTTTCTTTCATATATTATATATGTTAATATCTTTCTTAAACTGCAAGGTTAACCATTTCAGCACAGCTTTTATCTATTTTCCCTCACTTTGAAAGTCAGCTCGCGAATACTTAATAAACCATATAGATCAAGACCAAATTTCTTAGAGCTATGCAATACAAAGGTATTCACTGAGCAACTCCTCTGTATTCTCACTTATGGCTATGCAGTCTGCACATCCAATATAAATCAGCATTTCTCTGTTCCTGTATCCTTCATCTCCTTTGTGCCCACTTCAGCTGGTGTTTGGAGCTAAAATCAAACGGAGGAAGGGATTTTTCTCTCTTTTCTGACATCGGCATTTTCACACATTCACACACATCTTCAGAGTGCAGGGAATATCAACACTTCACAATCTTCTTAGTTTCTAATGAGAATGCGATCACAGGTAATGCTCACTTCAGACCTTCAAAAACACTTCACTGTTTTATGAGCCTCTTGCTCACTTTGTATAATCACCTCACTGTGTTCAAGCATCCACCTGAGAAATTCTTTCATTGCATTTGGTGTTTTTCCCAGTATTTAAGTACATAATGTTATGAGCACCAAATGGTAGTTAGCCACTTGCTAATCATGTTTGAACATTTAGGGCAGGGGTGTCAAACTCAATTGCACAGGGGGTCAAAACTCAAGGCACACTTTAGGTCGCGGGCCAAACAAGATAAACATTTATTGAACACACTAAAACAATGTTTTTTAAACATAAATATGAATAAAAACAGACAGGAATATTATTCCAGATTAAATTAACTTAAAAAAATAAACTTTAAATATTTTGCTCTTCATACAAATATATCCTGTCAAAATTATGCAAGTTAGAATTATGAACAAAAACCCCAGAAAAAATAAATGAAAGCATACACAAGGTTCGAGCCGCATGTAGACGGAGCTGGGCGTTGCTTCAGGAATGGAACTAATAAACTGTGCGGGCCATTCAGTGTCGTACTTTCCCTTGAGTGTATCATTACACTGCAGCTCCATCTGAATCTGCACAGGTGCAGTTCAGCAAAGTGCGCTGATTTGGTTCAACATTACTTGGCAACAGGGAAAGTGAGGCAAGTTGCACTGGTGCATTTGTGACCGTTTCACTTGAAATGCCTTCACCGCATCATACATGCCATGTCCATGAACTGACAGATTTCCTTGCTGAGCTCAAAAACTCTATTGAGAACTTTTCCCCAACTCAGCCAACAGACCTCTGTATGATAAGGAATGTCGGCAAACTCCGAATCTATTTCCCACATAAAAGACTGAAATTGATGGTGATTTAAACTTTTAGCTCAGATAAAATTTACGGTTTGCGTTATGGTGATCATTACATGCTCCATTTTTAGGACTTTACCACACAGCCTTTCCTGGTGTATGATGCAGTGATATGCTGTTAACTCACGGTACAGTTTTCCTCCTGCATCTTTACTCGCATCCTGCTGACTAGTTGACATACGTTTTAAAAAATGTCTTTTCCTGTCGTTGTCCCGTGCATCGATTTAATGTTCAATATTTCCTCTCCACGGATGAAGATGGCCAGCTGTGCAATGTCCATCATGTCTATACTTTCATCCACAGCAAGAGAGTATGCAATGAAGTTTTTGCTTCTTTCACACAACTGTGTTCTTAAATCAGTGGCCATCTCACAAACCCGATCAGCAATCGTATTTCTGCTCAGGCTCACATTTGCCAAAATCTGCGTTTTGTCTGGACACAAGACGTCGCACACCTTCATCATGCAGCTCTTCAGAGTGGTACCGGGCTGATTTGGTTTCTCCTCTGCTACAATAAAATTTGCTTTCACAACAGCTTCACTTTGCGATTTTGCTCTGATGAAAAACGTCTGCTGAAATGTCAGATTCTTCTTTAGCTCTTCTACCTTCTGTAGTTTCTGGTCTGCATTTAGGTTTTTCAGCTTATCCTGATGTTTTGTCTCGTAGTGCCGTCTTAAATTAAATTCCTTAATTACAGCCACATTAGCTCCACTAATAAGACACACGGTTTTACCAGCAATGTCTGTAAACATATATTCAGTCACCCACTGGCGCTGAAAGGCTCTGTTTTCGGAATCAACTTTTCTCTCCACCATTGTGAGCAGCCAGCTTCGCAATAAAAATTTGACTTGATTGACGCAGGAATTTTCCCAGTTAGCCTAGTGTTCAGCAAGGAGGCTGCAGCACTGCATTATGGGATCTGTTGTTTGTATATTATTAGCACCTCATATTGCTGGGCCATGCATAACAATAATAATAAATCTATATAAAATGATCTCGCGGGCCGGATATAAATGCACGCCGGGCCGGATGTGGCCCGCGGGCCTTGACTTTGACACACCTGATTTAGAGCATTTGGTAGAGACCAGAAGTGTAAATACTGAACTAGCGGTATATTTATAAACTGAACACTAAATTAATGATAAAGTTGCTCTGTAACAGATATATGAATAAACCACAGAATAAATATGACACTTTGCGGTAAAAAGCCACCAACAATTTTTAAGGAGACTTGGGATTTAAGCAAAAACCCAACTTCCAGGTAATGTTTGGAACTTACTTGATTTTAGCCAGATGTTCCCCCAACCCACACCTTTTTCTGTTAGTAACTGTCACAATACGGCTGTGTGCAGGCAAGAGTAGGACCCAAAACGCAAACTCACAGAGTGAAAAGGTAAACTCAAAAAACACAGCTTTATTGCTGGCGTGGAGTGGGACATGAAAAACAATACAAAATAAACTAAACTGGGAAAACTAAAGCACAAGGAGCCACAGGGAAAAATCACACAGCTATGATGGAGGACGCCACACTGACAAAGAGAAACATGGGGCTTAAATACACAGAGGGATAACGAGGGAAGTGGAGACACATGAGGAAACAGCTGACTAACATGAACCTAATGACAGGAGCAGTGAAGCTAAATACAAAGAACCAAGAACACACGACTCCTTCCAAAATAAAACAGGAAGCATAACGAAACGCAGACAAAACTTGACAGTGGAGACAGCAACTAAGAAACAGAGACAAACCATAAGGCAGAGGTCTAAAAACCAAAATACACAGAAGGAAATACTCAGCTTTGAACACAAGAGACTAGACTAGAGGGAGTAACAAAAGACCAACCATGAGAACATAATGCACAATGCA